GGAGGGAGATAGAGCAGCAAAGGGGAGCAGTTGGGCCTGAAGAGAGGTCAGAGGCACCAGAGCCTAAAGCTGCTGCTTCTGTTCCCACCACTGGCACAGGATGGCCTGGGGCTGGCCCATTCCCTGGAACACTGGGGGAAATCCAGAGGAATGGGTGTGTGCCTGGCCTGCACCCTGAAACACAGCCTTCCAGTAAAGGGAGGGGCCTGCCCTGCTCATGCCATCTCTGTCCTGGGCTAGGGTGTGTGGGTGAGAGCCTGGGGGAGAGGGGCTGGTACAGAGATGGCAGCATGGGCCAGATTTGTGCCACACAACCCTGTTGCCCTGACAGTTACTGCTGGTCCTTACCACCTGCCCTGGGGCACTTGCCTTGGGTGAGATGACAGTGTGGTACCTGTAACCAGGACAGGTATGGACAGAGTGTCATACTGCGGCTAGGGCAGTGATGTGTGCTTGCTCCTAGCCTTTCCTGGGAGCTGACATCCCTTTGGGGATCAGAAGGGTACAATAAGGGTGGGGGGAGACAGCAACTTCCCCCACCTGTGCCCAGTACGGGCTGATGGGCGAGGGCCCTGGACATCTGTGCTCTGGCTGTAACTCCCAGGAGGGGGTTTGGGGAAAAGGCAGTAGCACTTGTGGGTCTGGCCCCTGCCCCCAGGTTCTCAGTTATGGCTTTTAAAATGCTGCCAGGAGTATTGCAATGGTGTCTCTCATCTCTACTGGTGAAACATAAAATGATGTACCAACTAGAGAACATATTCTTAGAGCTTCCTGAAAATGCCTTTAACCTGCTACATGTATTGTCTCAAGAAGAACGATTTCTATTTCATAGTCTGAATTTTCACAGATCAGACTTTGCTTTCACAGAAATGAAGTAGACCCTCCCTTCAGGACCAATTATAAAAGGCTGCTACACCCTCCTCCCTCCCTGCAGTTCTCAAAACATCCCAGCAGAGGAGATTGTCTGGTGTGCTTATCACTGACAGATGTGCAGGCAACTCATTTTCTTTTAAATTAAAACAGTGGGGCCTGGCCTGTGTTGCTCAGTGGTTGAGCGTCAACCTATGCCAAGAGGTCATTGGTTTGATTCCCCACCGGGGCACATGCCTGAGTTTCCGTCTCTATCCCAGTAGGGGGAGTGCAGGAGGCAACCAATGCTGATGTTTGTCTCTCATTGATATTTCTCTCTCTCTCTCCCTCCGTCTCTCTGAAATCAATAAAAAACATATTTTAAACGAAAACAATGGGGCCCTGACTGGTGTGGCTCAGTTGGTTGGAGTGCCATCCCCTACACCAGAAGGTGGCAGGCTCAGTTTCGAGTCAGGGCACGTACTCAAGTTTCAGGTTGGATCCCTGGTTTCAGGTGGTATCTTTCTTTACCTCTCTTTCTCCTTCCTCTCTCTAAAAATAAAAACAATTGATGCTTGTGATTCCCTGAGGCTGGGGGCCACCAGGGAAATGAGGCTGTCTATCTGTGGGCACAGGTGCTGGGTCCCCCTCTCTCTGCTCTGCCGATCCTGAGGGGCTAAGCCAGACCCACCAACTCTGCCTTTCCAGTCAGCCAGGCCAAAGGCTTGTCCCGCCGCCTCCATTCCTAGTAAGAAATCCCCCAAAATGGCTATGTCCTCAGGGTTTAGCTCAGTTTATTATGAGGGCAGTTCTTGGGTATTCCCCATTTTCAAGACCACAGGGATGGACTTGACCAAGCCCTTTCTGGCCAGACCTTGGGCCAGGGTTTTCCTCCCTCATGGACTCAGTGTGATTTCCTGGTGGCATGACCCCTGAAACCTTTCATGCCCAAGAATATCTGGATTTGGCCTCAAGGCCAGCCGTCTAGGCTCACAGTGACCGTCCTGAAACATATCTGGGATGTTACCGCAGTTCATTCAGGATGCATTGCTGCTGCCAAGAATTTGAGAGTTTGTCTGGGTCTGGTCTGCTTTCTCTTCTACTCTGGTCAAGTTTCCTGTACCTCAGCAGGGACTATGCCGGCGCCAGGGACCCTGCATCAGTCCTAGGCCCACTCTCCAGCTCTAAAGCCTGGACGCTGGCACGGAGCTGGAACCGACAGCAAATGTTTGTCCAAGATTTCCTCGAAAAGAAGTTAGTGTGAAACCAGAACAAGGGCTAGAGGGCAAAATGGTGTTTGGGCCATTTCACACTTTGTAACCTGCTCAGGATGGCTGGTTGCCATCTCTGCACCAGCCTCCCTTTGAGCCTTCAGTTTGTCATGTAATTTGTAAGCTCTCACAGCGAAGTTACCAGGTGTGCAGGACTTCCCCAGCGTCCAAGGAAATTTGCGCATGTGCTGCCAAAGTTCCCAAGTCCCAGAAAAGGAGAGGATGGAAACCCACAGCCAGCCACTGGGGCCGCCCAGAGGGTGTGGCCCAAGGCCGGCTCTCTGCTCTTTAAACCCCTGTACACCAAAAAGTTGCAGGTTTGAGATTCCTGACCAGGGCATATACCTAGAGAGCACGTATGGGAGGCAACTGATCAATGTTTTTCTCTCCCTTCCTCTCTCTCTAAAATCTGTAAGAACATATCCTTGAGTGAGGAGTAAAAAAACAAACAAACAAAAGCCCTAGCAAGGTCTCCAAGAGCTCTGTTGGTAGGGATCCCACTTTCCCGTTTTGAAGAGACTGCTTTCTGCACCCCAATCCTGGTGGCGAAGGGCAGTGTGGGCAGCTTGAGACATCCAGCCACCAGGCACCTGGATGTCCTGAGCTGGGACCCAGGAGCAGAGCAAGGCCAGCTGGCAGCAGGGACATTGGAGGTTGTGACCACTAGTGTTTTCAGTACACCCATCTGTCACTTTGAAACAAGGAGCTTTCTCCTAGACTTATGGAAATGACTTTATTTTGAAAAATTTCAAATTGACAGGAAAGTCAAATAGTGAGAGGACATTCACCTGTAGGCAGCTCCACAGTGCCCTTGCCAGCTGCCCCTCCCGTCTCAATCCCGTGGGTATAGTCCCTTTCACCTGGCCAGTCTGTGCTTTTTGTTTGTGTATTCTCAAGTGACAATGACGTGTTTCAGGATCCAGGACACTGTTTTGCTGAACCCCAGAACCAGTTAGGTCCTCAGGTCAGGCAGCCTGCCCGGTCCTGCTCCTCTTCTGTGAGGGAGATGTGTCCCCAGGGCCAATGCAGGGCTTCTGAACAGGAGGAGGGGCATGGACGCCCAGTCATAGTGGTGGAGCCTAGAGTGGAAAGGCCCACACTTGGAGTCCTCTGTCTACTGAGGCAGGGCAGGGGACGCCTGCCGTCCCTGACTGCAACAACCCCTTTCTGAGCCACTGCAGGTGGGACAGACTTGGGGTCTTCAGAGACCACCCTGGCCCTGGACATCCCTCTTCAAGAGAATTCTTCCCACCTTGACAGCCAGGAGAGTCCTGGTCCCACAGGGCAGCCAAAGGCTCCAGATGTCCTCTCCCCTCTGGACTTTTGTCCCTGTGGTCCTTACATCCCCACCCTGCCAAGAAAGGCTCACCACACATTTGTTCTCAAAAATATAACTTCAGCTTTAGGTAATGGACCTCCCTCCTCTCACCCTTCCCTTTCTCCCCTTCCCCTCCCCTTGTCTTCTGCCCCTCCCCTCCCCTGCTCTCTGGCGGAAGTAGCGGCCGGTGGTAGGCATCGTCTCTTTGTGGGAGGATGGGCTTATTTGGGGGGGAGGGGTTGCCAGGCCTCCAGAGTATACATCGGGGTGGGCTGCGCTCTTCCGGGCTAAGCGCAGGTGGAATTCCTATGAAGAGTGGTCTTGGGCCTTCTGGACCTTGGGCATGGGAGGTGTCAGACCTCCAGCTTCTGCCAGGAGCCTGGGACAGAGGGTGGGAACCTGGGCCACCACACCTTTTTCTCTCCTTTGCTTTCATTGGAAATGGCTTTCCTGAATTTGGTTTTATGTTGTTTGGTTGTTACAAGAATACAATGCTGGGGAAAAGCAGAGCCCCCAGGGCCCAGAGAGAACCTGGTCACTGCCTTTTGGGCCCACAGAAACACACACGTTTCAAACATGATTAGATCATTCTGATTATTGTGTTTCGATATATTGCGACCACCTTTGCCCATACTACCGACATTTCTCCGCTGTGGGTGTAAAACTGTTCGGGGTGACTCATTGCACCTAGATGCCATAGTTTTTCGGACTAAGTTCCCTTTGATGGACATCAGGTTGTTGGCCTGTTTCCATGGGTCCTCATGGGTTAAGAATGTGAACCGAGGCTGTAAAATACAAGGCCAACGGGGCTGCGCCTGCCCCGTCGTCCTGGCCTTGCCGTCCTGCACTGGCTGCAAGCTTCCCTTTCGTGACCCGTAGGGGAGGGGAGGGGCGGGCTACCCTGAGCAGGCAAGGATTGGCCTGTGGTCCTGTCGCAGAGCTTTAATAACTTCTGTGTACCAGCTGAAGTCCCTTGTGGACCAAGCCCCGGGAGCAGCCCCCCCCCAACTCCCCCCCCCAACCATAGCACGTTTCTACAAGAAACCCCTTCCTACGCGCTGGGTGAGCTCCAGACAAGCAAGGAGGGGGAGGGGAGACCAGATTCCAGCTCAGTCGGTGTGGGGAGGGGGCGCTTCTGTTTCGCAAAGAAGCCAGATTGTGTCTGGGAACTACTCCGCGGGATGCTTGGGACACCGGGCAGGGGCCTGCTGGAGGGGGGAGGGGACAGTACAGGCAGGGGCCTGCTCAGCGGCGGGCGGGGGGGAGTCAGTGTGAGAGTAGAGTCACCCGTTGGGGAAGGGTGACACAGAGCGAACTGGGGTACGCGGGCAGACTTGGTCAGGCTGGGGGAGGGGCATCTGTAGAAGGCGCCCCGCCCCATGCAAACTTTTCCAAGGGCCGCGGGGACCGCAGGTGAGGTCACGTGGCGGGGCGGGGCGAGGACAGGGCCGGGGGGCGGGCCGGGGGCGGGTCGCGCGGACCCCGCCCCTGCGCCCAAGTCCCGCGGCGCGTCGGCAGGAGCAGGCGGAGCGCGGCTGGAGCGCGCTGTGTGTCTTCGAGTGCGCAGTGTCCGGAGTACCATGCCCACCAACTTCACCGTGGTACCCGTGGAGGCGCGGGCGGACGGCGACCAGGATGAGGCAGCCGAGCCAACCGAGGCGCCGGGCACCCCCGAGGGCCACGAGCCCGGCTGCTCTAGTCCGGGTGAGCGCGGCCGCACCTGTCCGCGGGACAAAGGCGGAGCCGGGCTGCGCCGGGCTGGGGGCGGTCCGGGGCCGGAGAAGAACCGGAGGAAAGAAAGAGTGTGGGGCTGCTTTTCCCCCCTTGCCTCCTGCCCTTTCTCAGTCCCCGCCCCCCCCAAGTTCCTCTCACTCCTTCTCCTCCTGAGATTCCCTCACCCTTCTCCAGACTGCAGAGTCCCCCACAAAGCTTAGTCGCCGGGATGCATGGCGAAGGACCCCTGTGGTGCCCAGGGTTCCTAGGGCTGTGGGACCCCTCTGCTGCTCCCCACTGCTAGATCCATCTTTGGAGCACGTTCCTGGCCGTTCCCCCAACCCCCACCTCCACCGGGGCCCAGGAAGCACCTTCTTTCTTACATTCAGGGTGGGGCAGTGGGGAGGTGTGGGAGGTGGGAGACGCCCCGGGGTAACTATGGGCACGGGGGGAGGGACTTCTCGTGAGAACCCCCGGCCTGGGTGGGGTGCGGTAGCCGCAGGGGGTGGTTCCCCAGCAGGAGCGCCTTCCTGCTTCCTCAGGCCTTTGCTCCCACGCGGCCGAGCTAAGAGCCAGCCAGCCAGTCAGTCAGATTAGACCCTGCTGAGGTCCCAGTTGTGTACACCCACTCTGTGGGTCATCAGCAGGAGGGATAGCAGGTCCCTGGCGGGTCCGGGGGAGGTCCCCCCTAGCTGTGATCAGGCTGAGGGACCCCCTGGCTCCCTTTGTTCTGGAGTCCCAGGTCTGTAACACTTTCACTTTCTCTTGTGGGGGCTCCCCCAGGCCTGTTCCCCTTCATCCTCGCTCCAGGCCTGGGTTCCTGCAGCTGATGGATGATTTCCCCCGAGTGAGCAGCTTCATCTCTGCTCTCAGCTCCCTGTAGAAATTGGGGGAGTGAGAGGACCCAGTCTAGCACCCACAGCTGGGGATTTCCCTGCCTGTGCCATCCCCCCTCTCCCCCACTGCCGCCTTGGGAGGAGGATCCCAGCTCCTGGCACTTAAGGAAAGAGGGTGAGGTCAGTCAGGCCACAGGTCCTGAGTGCTCACTACCCTGGCAGGAAAGGCCAGGGCCTCCTGGGGGCACCATTAAGAACCTGCTGGAAGGTATGTCCTGATGGGCTGTTGCATCATCTGTCATTAGGGTCCTGTCCCCTCCCTCAGATGTCCCTTTCCTCAAGGTGAGGCAGCTGCCCAGCTTTGCTCTGCTGGTGTGGGACTGGTCATGGCTGTTTCCTGGCCTCTTTCTGGTGCAGGGGCTTGAGACCAGGTAGAACATGAAGGCAGAGTCTGTAAGCTCAGCCTTTCTCCACTGCCCCATGGTTCTGGTTCTGAGCATCAAGGATCAGCTCGTCTGGCCACTAGCCGCCATTGATTAGTTCCCAGAGGATCCCTGAGCCACACTACTAGATGTCTGGCTCCCAGCCTGCTAGCCCCATCTTGGGACCACATTCACCTTCTCTTCAGACTTTGTGGCTCGTTTTGAAGCTGAGGATAATTTTCCTCCAGTTTACCCCTTCTGCTCCCGGTAGCTCTTGTGTGGTGCCCTGGGCCTGTGGCTGATGGGTGAGCACCTCACCTAGCTTATGGAGAGCCTCTAGTCGCTGAGTGCTTTTGCTTTCTGAACCCTGATCCCCCCTAGTTCCTGCTGGGGGCTGGAAATTGTATCTACCTGAGTGATCTTAGACTCAGAACTGCCAAGGGTGGGTTTTGTGCTCACTTAACAGACCCTTTATGGTTTGAGCTGAACTTATGACACTTGGCTGAACTGGCACAACTAACTTGGGACTTTGACGTTTTGTGTTCTGTGCACTTAATGCTTTCTCCGAAAGAAACGGCAGAGGAGGTTGTCCCTGCTGCGTGGTCACAGTGCTGTTGTCTTATGGGGTGTCTGGCTGGGATTTGAGTTTTAACTTAAGCTGTCAGACCACAGTCAGCACTCAGAGATGCCGTGTGAAGGTCACCGTGTCACCAGCATGATGAGGAAGCCACCATGCGCCCTGCTTGTTGGGGAAGGTCCTGCAGGAGCCAGGAACAGCCAGGCTAGAGCTGTTTCCAAAGGCCATCGTGTGGGGTCTGTGCTGTTCAGGGTCTCGACTCCACAGTCCCATGCCAGTGACCACACCTACCATGTCACAGGATCACTGGCACTACTGAAGTTCCTTCTTGACTCTGGGTGACCCTCGAACCTCCCCAGGGAGGCACCTGGCTTTCTAGGTGGGTCTCCTGGTGGTGATGGAACGAGTCTGGGGACACCCTGTGCCTGGAAGTCCCTGGGCTGTCGTGGAAGTAGGAGGCACCGTCCTCACCCCTTGCCCTCGGGTCCCATGCCTATTTCCACTACAGTGCAGGGGCTCGTGAACCCAGACTCTGGTCTGTGTCTGGCCTGGAGGCAGGGAGGGCCTCTTAAGCCTGTGACATCTAAAACAGGAAGGATCTCGCAGAGTCCTGGGCCTGCTCTGTGCGCCAGGCTGGGGCCTCTTTGGGAACCTTGTTCGTGTGAAACTTAGCCCATTTTCTGGCCATTAGAAACCCCTGGGACACCCAGGCAAGTGACAGCGTGGTGAGTGGTGGATGCTGAGCATTGACCTTGAATTAGCCCTGCTGCCTTGACCTCAGCACTTCTAGCTGACAGGCCTGTGCCTGATGCTTTAGACCCAGGAGGACAGTGGCCCTGCATCCCAGCGCTGCTTTGTGGAAGCCTGGGCGTCCTTGGAGGAGATGCTCCCCCACTGAGTGAAAATCCACTGGGTACAGGGAGGCCTGGCACGAGAAGCAGAGGCCAAGGTCAATGTTATCTTCTGTGGATACAATTGAGTGCTCTCCCTGCTTCCCCATTCCCTTCCAGTGAGAGGTGGGACCTGGTGTTCTGGTATGACGGGCTCATTTTTCCTGGGGGCTGGTTCCCTCCCTGAGGACAGGCACCACACCCTGGTCCCCTGTGTGATGGGAAAGTTATTCTGCATTTTATTGTGATGGGAGATTGGTCTGGAAGTGGAAAAGAAAGGTTTTTATGTATCCCGTTTCCTCAATACTTTGTTTCTTGGTAGAAATACTTTATAGACGGGAGGTGGTGAGAAGGAGGGTGCTTTTTCCTGACTTCTGATTAGGGTGGGTTTTTGTTGTTGTTTTTATTACGGATTTTAGAGAAAGAAGCTCGGAGAGGGGGAGAGAGAGAAAGAGAAACATCCACGTGAGAGAGAAACATTGATTGGTTGCCTCCCAGTTGGGATTGAACCTGAAACCTGGGTATGTGCCCTGACTGGGAATCGAACCTGCAACCCTTTGTTGTATGGAACATCACTCCAACCAACTGAGCCATACCGGCCAGGGCTGATTATGGTGGGTTTTTAACTGACTTTGGGGTAGCCTGATCCCCTCTCTTGGTGACTCCCCTCCATGTTGGCTGAGTCCTGGAGGCCACGGGCAGCCTGTGTGGGACCACAGAGTGGATAGGCATGCAGGCCCCTAGTGAGGCATGGCCACAGGCCTGGGCCCCCAAAGAAGTTCCACCCCTAGCTTTTGTGGCTAATGGGGTGGGGGTCCACCCTTGGAGGGTATATGGAGCCTCTGGAGGGTGCATGGGGCCTGCAACCCCTTGCGTCTCCTGCCCCTGGCCAGAGTTGTTCCTCACGTGGCATATCCCGTGGCTCTGACTCTACTTCCTCTTCCTTGGGTTGCTGTTCTGCTTTTCGGATTCCTTTTTGTGATTTCTCTCTGTGTCTCAGGTCTGTTGGTCTCCTCCTCCCCTCTGGAAGGGGCTCTGAGCCCCCTGACACAGTGATCCAGCCAATCCTAGGGGCATCGCCTTTGTCCTGTCATGGCACAAGGCAGGGTGGCCATTAGGAGTGGGCAGTTGGTAGCTGCTAGCATTCTATGAGGCCATCGGCTGGGCCAGGTCAGGGGCCGTGGGACCTCAGAGGCCATGACTGCAGGTTCTGATCGAGTTTTCTGCCATGTGTGGGGCTTCTGCCACTAGGACGGGGAGAACACAACTTCAGGGCATTGGTATGTGGGGTTCAGGGAGCAGTACAGTTGAAAAGTGGGGGGGGGCAAAGCTTTCAGGTTCTGTCCTGCTGGGCAAGGACACGGAGCAACATCCGTTACTGGGTTTCAGGAAGGAAGGAATGCGTCACACTGACTCGGGAAGGACAGTGGCAGTGGGCAGATCCCATTCCGTCTGTCTCCTTGGGACTTGCTGTAGGCAGCTTGGCTCATGGATATTCTTTAAGGGGATTTCATAGGTTACCAAACATATCTTTTGTACCAAATTCTTTGTAAAGACAAAGGAACAAAAAGTAGCTGGACTCACCAAGTGGAGTGTGGCTCCGGGTGCTGGGAACATGGCCTTTGTTCATGTGTCCTTCGTGCGCTCTGGGGAACCAGACCGTCTTTAGGTGACAGGCCCTTTTCTTAGAAATCATGTGAAGCCGGTGTGTTCACTTGTATGTGGGCATGTTGTACATGCGTACTTGTCTGTGTATGCACGTGAGCACTCATATTTGCATGCGAGCATGCGTGCGTGTGTGCGTGCGTGTGTGTGTGACTACACACAGTGGTGGATAGAGAGGGGCTTGATCATTGGCATTGGGTCATGTGGTGGGAGGGCATCTGTTCTTTCCTGCGGCCCCCCAGTGGACCGGGTCCAGTCATGTGGCTGGGGGTACATCCCCACCCTGGGCCATGCAGGTGTTGGTGATGCGTCTGCACCCTGGTCTGAAATGTGTTTCCAGCTTGTGTGCCCTGTGAACAGTGTGCCCATTGCCTCTTAGGTCCAGTTCTGTACTCTTTTGTTCTGGAAAGTTCCCCAGACCTGATCTCAGTTCTTTGCTGGAGTGGGCGTCTGAGCTGTGGACACTGGTGGTGGTGGCTATTGCTGCCCGGGGGTGGCCACTGTGGGGTTGGGCTTGGGGGAGCTGTGAACAGCAGCCCCAAAGGACCAGGCAGCTCCAGGGCCACTGGGCACTGGTTAAAGCAGCTGCCGTCTGTCCTGT